CAGGCAATGAGTGGAGGATAGGAGGGCTTCTTAAAGACAAGCTAACAAGTCTGTGAGAGCCAGAATTCTTGCTAGTTGGTAGGTGATCAAATACTTATTTCATGCAATAAAATGGAAATAAATTATTTAAAAATCTAACAATGTGATTTACTGGAATTTGTTTGTAGATTCTGTCTCTCACAGTTGAGGTGTACCTACGATGAAAATTACAGAACTGTCCATTCTCTGTAAGTGGGAAAACTTGAAAATCAGCAGTGTATCAAATACTTATTTGCCCCACTGTATATAAGGGAACCGATATTTTAATGTAGTCGGCTGAGTGAAAGCAATTTAACTTCTTTATAGTTTAGAGACTTAATTTATTTACAATTAATGGGCTGTGTAGCCTTGGCCTCTGGAAACTTGTGACTAGCTGGTTTTTCCCAATAAATTCTAACGCTTCATAAACTAAAGACAAATCAGTTAATTAAAAAATGGGGCTGATTCACCAAATATGAAAAAAATCATTTTGGCTGCAGTTCTGGTCATAATGCACAACAAATAAAACAAAAAAACAAGTTACCCGAGCTTCAGCTTTGCATGGATTTAGCCTAGTTTACTCCAGCAGAAAACCTGAGGAAAGGTCTAACACTTCACTTCAGGATGTCTGGAACATAAACACTCAGAGAGAAGTGAAGATTCTGAAGAAAACCAATCCTGCAACTGACAAAACCTGCAAAAATACTCCAAAAAGATTAGTAAGAACATGTTAAGTAAGGACCAAGCACCCAGTATGGTCTTAAAAAAACACAGATAGCACTTACCCATACAGGATGGCAATCACAGAGCCGAGTGCGACCTTTTCTCACTACTACAGCCTAACTACATTTCATTAGATAAACTGATAAATGTAAAAAATTACCAAAAGAATTTGAAGATCTGAAGAGATGCATTAATACAATTGTGATTAAAAAATAAAGCAGGTGACTCAATTTGCAAACATTTCAAAGAAAATGAACAAACTTGAACAAACAAAAATCTGTATTTTTTATTTATCTAACCATTTCCACATTTTCATAAAGCCACAAGATGCTATTAAAACTTGCTTTTACAATGAATGTCTTTTGCAATCATGACTTGTATAAATCAAAGTGTATTTGTAGGTTTGGATCTGAATGGCACAATCTACAGAAATATCACGCTGCTGTTTAAAGCCCTCTGGAGGCATCTAAACATGTCAGCAATACAAATGATATACTGCTTTGGCTATATATCTCAAGTTCACATTGGGCTAGTTTAACCCACATAAAACATGTTGACCAAGTGACCACACCTCTCCAGACACAAAATAAATATCGCTCAGGTGGCAGAAAATAAATATTCATCAGTCTGGGGAAAACACAAATAGAAAATTCACTCTAAAACAAATCAAGATGTTGACCTCAGAGCCGAGAGCCACTGTTACTGATCATGCTTCAGTTACTGAATTGAGATCAAGAGTTAATAACATTCCAAAGTTATCACATTTACAGTGCTCATATTATTTATTGAGAAAATCCTAAAAACATTTTCAATTATTTTTTGATTTTACAAAGTATTGTGACAATATGTTGATTGTGGTCTACAAAACAGGACATGTTTGTATTAAGCCTAATGACAAATGTAAGGTTTCTGGTTTGACTTCTAGGTAGAAATGGCAAGCTTTCTATAGAAAAGGGACCAATTTAACCCACACAAAATTACTTTTGTGGTCAACTACAGTTTATAATCCTCAAATGACATTTGAAAACATATCCAATGATAAATGCATGTAGTAGTTATGCTGATCAACAGAAGGTAGGTAACAATGCGGTTAACCGTGGGTAACACTTTAAGCACATAATGTACATTAACATTATATACACATTAGTTTACCTGGTCATTTTGCAGAGCTAATGTTAGATTCACTGATTTATAGAACAAACTACTGTTAGCTTAACAGACCAACAGCTGATTGGCCTGTTTGGGATTTGATTAGCCAGTCAAGTCCCAAACACACAGGACAAACTAATAATAGCTTGACAGACAAGGCATAACACTAATGTAACAGACTAACACAAAGAGCCAACGTTCACAAAATAACCAGACAAACTAAAATTGTCAATCCTGAATCCTGGAGCTCCTGACTGAGTGATTAAGCTTAAAACCATATATCATTATATGGTGTTGACAGATTTTCACTATCGTTCACTATAATCCAGCTGCTTGAAAATAACACTACTCAACCAGCTGAATCATTTAACTAATCAAGGAGTTATCCACTATTTTAAGTAGTGTTTCTGTTCTGGGGGAAACTACCTCTAAATAGTACATACTGACTACAACATCATGCAGAGATATTAACTGGACAGCAGCTAAATTTTATCATTTTGTAGAATAGCTGACGTTTGGCTGAAAATTCACAGCTTGACTCAACATAGGACATTATGCCTTGATCATACCTTACAGTAATTTTTCTCAGTTTGCATAAACATTGGCTGACATTACACATAAGCATGCATTTAAGGCTACTGTAGATATTTCAAATCGTTCAGATGGTAAACGTTTGTTCTGTTTAGTTTTTGATACAATTGCAATGAAGGTCTTAAGTCAGATATTTTCAAAGCCTACACAGGGTCTGGTTAGCAATCTGTAAAAAGAAGGTAATTGGATACAAATTCATTCTGAGTTAAATGTAAATTAAAAACATTTCTGAGATGCTGAGATAGTGAGATAATACATACTGTATAAGCAACACAAAAACAAATTCTGAACACCAAAATCAAGTGATTAACTCATGACCATGTGCAAAACAGCTGAAAATAACCATTAATAGCTGCTCTTGGCTTTGTTACAGTTCACTCTGAGTAACTTGGAGTACACGATGCCATATCAAGTCATGTGCAAACGATATTGTACATTTTTGCCGTTATTTTTTTCCTAAAGTGTTTTTGTAGAAACACTGAAGTGAGTCTGTAGCTAAGGTGAAGTCTTTTTTGCTGAGGTTCTTCACGGCTGAAGGTCTGTCGGATATTTTAACTGTTGTAGAAAGCAGTTTCAGTACACGCACTAAGAACTGATGGGGACGGGGAACATGGAAAGGTTTAACATCTTGGTTGATTTATATCCAACTTTGTAAAAGTAGTCTCACAATAAAAACGTTGCAGAATTATGATTGCACAAAGTTTAAAAAAAAAAGGTCTGACTCATCACACTGAACATTTCACTTGTGAGAAAACTTCACTTTTCATTTGGTGGATAACTTAGTGTTTGATTTTAGAATTTACCATCAAGTCTCCAGGAAATATTCTTTTATATTCCAGGTAGACCTGATTTCTACAGAGCCTCAGCCCTACTCCTGAAGGGTGCTCTTGGACAAGAAGTGCAGTCCTTCCTCCTTCAGTTGGGCCAGGGCTGGACCATAGATGTCCTTTGTCAATGGAAATACCAAGCCTTTTGTACTGATTTCACCTGCAAAGAGAAAACGCTGATTTAGGCAGTAACATTTTCTTGTCCTCTGTACTATATCTGCTGTTCACTGCACAGATTTGTCAGAAAATCACCAAAGACCTTTTCCTACTTTCAGGTAACTGGTTTCAGTTTATTTGAGAACATACGGGACAGAAGGTTACACACAAGCAAACGGGACAAATTAATGTTCTCTTCACAGACTGGACCACTAACATTAGCCTGACAAACCAGTGAGAGCTTCACAAACTAACCAGACTAACTAACATTAGCTGCTCAGACTGAAAGGATAAATTAATGTTCTCTTCACAAACTGACAGGACAGAGCAAATACTTTAAAAAAAAAAAAAAAAAAATCTTGTACCTGGTCTCAGGTACCAGTTCCCAAAATCAAATTCAAATTAATTTTCTTCCATCTGCAGAAGATTCACTTAAAATTATATATTAGTTTTACTGTTTTAATTTAATTTCAGAGACGGGAACAATCTTGTTGAATGATATCACTGACCTTCAAGGACCATGCGAGCAGCAATGGCTGCTGGGTACCCTACAGTCTTAGCCATGGCAGAGAAGCCTTTGGGGTCACCGTACACCACCAGGCTCATGTGTTTGGTCTCCAGCTCGCCAGTTGGGTGGCGGAGGCCCACGTCGTTCCTCAAAATGATCATGTCTTGCTCGCCCTTACCTACCCACAGGAGAGAAATCATGAGTTTTTGTACCGGTGTTATCAGTGTTCGTCGAGTCATATGTAATCATTTAAGAAATTTTTTTTAATGCCACATAGAATGAAATTTAATACCCGTTTCACAATCATGTCAGTCAAAATATGAATAATATTATGGATATATCTTATTTTGTCACTTCCTGGTCATGGAACAGAAAATTCATCAGCAAAGTATTTTAATAGTAAAGGTATGATTCAGGTCATTTTTCAAGCAAATGTACCAAACAATGGGCGGTTGGACAAAAAGGTTTTGGTAACATCAACCTGAGTTTTAGAAAATTGTGATGGATATTTTCAGTGGTTTTCTGATGTTTCATATACCATTCAGCAATAATGAAAACAATCTCTACTTGCAGCCCAAACAACAATAATTGCTAATAAAATAATGAATGAATAAACACAACGTGGGTAAACAGAGGAAAAACGGACTTGAAAATGGAAGGGTGGGTTAAATGTTTCCACTTTACAATACCCAGTTCACATTTTGTTCTGTGTTACTTGTGTTTTGTGGTAATGAAATGAGCGTGTGCCTCACCGTAGGTGAGTTTGGCTTCCAGGTGTTTTGCCAGAGCAGCTAGGACGCTGTCAGCTTGAGGCACCAACTCGTTGCTCAGAATCCCTAAGCTGAACACACAGACAAAAAGTAAGACTTTTTCTCACAATAAAATAACCTTCACAAAGCCCTATTAAACGCTGTAAAAAAAATTACTCCACTTTAACACCACGGCAGCGGAAGCCCAAACATCCTTGGATAAATCTAAAGAGATGAGCAATTGCTTTTTCTCGCTGCTTTGCTGGTGAATTGAATAAATGAACAACAAGTCATTCAATTTGAGCTGTGAGCGCCTTGGCTTTTTACCCTCTTAACGGCACAGATTTACCGTGGGAGGAATTTACGTTTCAATGCCAGCATGGCCTTCTTTGCTTCCCCGCCAGCAGCAGCAGAACAATGACAGCACGGAGACTTGGTCTGAAGAGACCCTCTGAAAAGCTGATTTAAATTGAAGAGTGTGCACGCTATACCACTTCAGTTGTCCTTGTTAGGAAGGCAAGTGAAAAGTGTAGAGAAGAGGAGCAGCCTCGACCCTGCTCTCAGCTCAACATCCACAGCACTAACTCCAACTTTGAAGAGCAGCACACAACACATCTGCCTCTCCTGCTCAGAGCCCAGCAGCACAGACAAATGGACATCCAGAGAACTCCTTTAAAGGGGCATTACGTAGGATTTGGACTGCTTCCTAGCACCCAATGACCAACAGTTCTACACAAAGTATTTTAGAAGGACTGCAGGCATTTGGCCCGAACAGGGACAAAGACGCTCTGCTACTGTATCCTGCCAGAGAAAACCCAGATATAATGTATTCTGGTCTCAGCTCTGACTTTTTATGTCTGTCTCAGCATTTTAAAATATCATGTCACAGTCTATAATTTCAGTGAAATTAAATTTGTTTATTTACTAGTGTTTCCCTTGTTGTTAGAATCTGTTTTATTAACAAACACCTTCAGTTTGATACTCCACAAATGGCAGTAGGTAAATCCAGCCATGATGGAGGAAAGAATCTAGCCAACCCCCTTCTAAAGCTAACTGTTAGCCGAATATCAACTATTTAACTCTAGTAGAGGTCTTGACATGTAATGTGGATGTACAACTCTTACATCACATATCGAATGTATTGAACTGGATATTAATACTATATTAATTTCAATATAAATATTCAGGAAGCCTGAGAAACATGCACCCATTGAGAAGCCTGATCAGTTTGAACCTTGGCTCTCACCCTCTCAGGGTGTCCATTCTGGTGTCATCCTTTCCAATGACTTTGTATACAGCATCTTCAAAGGCATCCTGGGACACAGAAGACAATCCCATCTGCTTACAGAGGAGCTCTTTCTGTAGAGAGGAGAGAAGAGATCACACTACATATCTTTACTGTTTCTCTTAGAGTTCCTCCATTTTTCTAGAACTGTCATATTCAAACACTTTCAAACCCCCAGGCTGTCTCCTAGATTGTCTTAGCTTCTGGTAAGGTGGGTCCCATTTCTGCATCTCATTTCCAGACAAAAAATGTTTTTATATTTGTTTTCATGAAAATATGAAGTGTGTGTGTGCTGATAAAGCTCTACTTTCTGATAAACATATCCTGAACATTCACATCTGTTTCTCTCTCATCTGAAAAGAATAAAAGTCAACAAACATTCCCTGCTGTAAACTCTCCAAACTGTCAGAAAGCCTCAGCTCACTGTAGCCTTGATGTTGATAAGCAGCTATTGACAGTAATAGACTCTTCAACAAACCCACTTCAAACATTCAGAAGCTTCAAGTGGAAACGTGCAAAACAGTTCAACAGGTACAACTGAATTTCAGCCTGGAGGAGGAAGCAGGAGGCACTGCTCAGAGGCTGCCTGTCAAAGGCGATGTCTTCATCATCACTATGAAACACCGATGGATGGTTCTTACCCAGGAAACAGGAGCTGAAGTGGACTGCAGGACGGGGCACGGCTCACTGTTGATCAGACCCAGTTTGACAAAGCCACTCATGGCCTTAGCAAAACCCTATGGGACAGAACGAAGTCTCAGCTGAGTCACAGCAAACACAACAAAAGATAATGGGACAACCAGGTTTAGGCATCAACCTGTATATGTTACTAACTGTTCAGAAAAATTCTTATTTAAATGACTGTAGTTGCAATATAAACTGGATTTGGCTAGCTGATTATCTAACAACTAAAACCCTGTTTGAAAACTTTGATGTTATTCCAGTTAAAGGTGCAGCGATCGATCAGCGGAGATGGGAAATGGCCGGTTTTCATTGTGATCTGCCTTGACCGGTGACTGGCCGATCAGAGATTTCTGATTCTGTGCTGATCAGATTTAGAGGCATGACAGTTCACATCACACATGCTGTAGCATGAATGCTGCAAACTTCACACACTTCAAAAAGAAATGTGTGCACAGTAACCGACATTCTTCTGTTTCTGTTACTTGTTGCACCTGTTTATATACAGAGAAGTACAAACACTGCACCTCATTTTTAGCTTTTAGTTTAGAGGTTTGTATAAAAAAAAAAAAAAAAGAAATAGAAGATGGAAATGTAAAATTTTAATACAATGTGTTACTTTTATTACAATTTAATTTTCCATTAAAGAAAAGTTATAAAAATGTCTGTGCATGCTGTCAATTATAATTCTCATAAAAAAAGAAAATGGAAATTGGCCAAGAAAAGTGCAATCAGTGCATCTCTAATGGCAACTCTAATTCACTGAGAAAATACGAGTTGCAGCACTGACTATAACCTAGAGTAAAACTCTACCTCTGACTTTATGTACGCTAAATGTATTCACAGACATGCACAGACATGTATTCATGTATTCATGTCTGTGCAGAAGAGCAGACATGCAGGTTAAGTAAAACTTCTCATAGCGAAATGATGCCAACATTAGAAATAGTCTGTAACAGTCATAGAAAGTCATTTTAAAGAGTATTGTGTGTGCGTGTGTGTGCTGTACCTTGAACCTGAGTGTTCCTCTGACCACTGTGTGCGCAGTCTGGATGCCATACGGCTCAATGTACCTGGTGCTGTCACGGTTTGGAAGTCCCTCCAGGTTGAAGCCAGGAAAAATATCCATCGGTTTGGCGAAGTCCATCAGAGCACCACCGGCCGGGATGTTCACCAACTGGACAGCACACATGCACAGATCCAATTTCTTTCTACTTGATTCAAGGCACAGTAACTATGCCAGCAAATTCACAGTAAATTAATACTCCGTGCTCCTCTGACACCTTTGTACCTGGTTGTCTTTGAGGTAGACGGCCGGGTTGATGGTGTTGAGGAGGACGCCATACGGACTCCAGCTGAACTTGTAGCGAAGAACATTGTCTGAACATTCAGGAGCAGGAAGACCACCGCAGAATGAGCTGTAGGACTCCACCTGCATGACACAGATGTTCATGGTGTCTGTTACTTGTCTATCAAATAACTGATTAATCAACTAACTGTTTCACGATTTTTTTTCAGGTTGTATTTCAGTCCAAAAAAGTCCACATCAGCTCAGGTCAGACTGTCTGACGCCGTCCGTTTCTGGACTAAGAGCTGACACTCGTATGTCAGGAACATTTACACCAGTACATGTTTTCAAACAGTGTGTGTGTGTGTGTGCTGACTCACGGTGCAGCCGTCGGCCTTGGCCTGATCAATACACTCCATGGCCAGCATGTGGTCGATACCCGGGTCCAGTCCCATCTCGATCACTATGCTGATTCCTGCCTCCTCTGCACTAACACATGCACAAACATGAACTGATGTAAATGTACATTTTCACCTCACAAAGAATAAAACTTACCTTTAATTAATTTATTCCATATTCTTTTTTGTTTTTCCAGTCTTCTCACTTTACTAATTTAAAATCTGATTTACATTTTCATGTGTTCAACATAACATTTTTCCATTCATTTTAAATTTCCAGGCATGTTTACCCCTTTTCTTTTCTTTGCCACCAGTGTTTGCTTTTACTTTCTACACCTATACAGTATTTTTTACATTGTACATTCTTTTGATTAGCACATAACAAGAGTATAAAGTACTAATTAGTGTCCAAGTACTAATTACTTCATCAAGATGCAACAACGTTGAAGAAAATGGTGCTGAAACCTTAATAAATCCCATTTTATTTTGTCAGTTGTGTTGCTGTTGCTCACCTGCTCTGCAGCTCCTTCATGGCAGGACTCAGGTAGCTGGCCGTCACCATGTTTACCTTCCTCTTGATGCAGTGTTTGGCAACAAGCGGGTGAAAAGCATACGGCAGGAGGCTAGAAAGCAGAGGGAGCAGGGTCAGGACAGATGTTTGATAAAGCTGAGCCTAGTCTGACAGGGCAGGGATGAGCCTAGTGAAGTCTGAGACCTGGTCTGAAACATTGACACAAGTGCATTTTTTTCATCCATCCAACAACCACTAACAGTCTGACGGGGCTGCCAGAAGGGCTACAGACCCTTAACGTGATTATTTCAATTAAAGACGTGAGGAAATAACAGCATTAATTAAGTATTAAAGAAAACAGGATGCATTCTTGGGCTGATTACGTGACCAGGTCCTCCTCCAGCTAAAATTTTAACACTTTTTTCTATTTTGTGGGTACTGTATGTCACAGCTTATTTCCTGGAGACTTATAAATAAATAATAAATATGAGGTATTTTCCAAGAAAGGTCTGTGCCATTTGATACCAACTACAATGGAAATGCAGAAGGCCATAGCTGCTGTAGTTAAGTACCTTCTTGCAATATTTGAGTTAGAGAGAAAAAAAAAACTGTAAAGGATGTAGTAGATAACAAAAACTGGTCAAACAGATTTAAATATCTAATTCCTAGTTTCCTATAAAGACATTTTAAAAATCTTGATTTAAATTGTACCTCACTGAGACAATATTTTCCAGTTCTGTCAGTGGAGTTCAGGTGAAAATACTGCATGTTTGTCAGTACAACTGCTGGGTGGGTGAAACTTCATAGTGTGGCGTGTTTTATTTGTTGATACTCGTCAGTGTGAAACACAAATCTAAGGAATTTCAGTGCATCTTACAACTACAGATAAGCAGACAATTCAACCAAAATGCAGCATAACACTCCACCAAATGATCTTGATACTTATTTTATACTGTATTTTAATTGTTTACAAAGTATTTTTTAAAACTCAAATAATCAGGTACTTAATAAATGTACCAACTAACATGTTCCCTATTTCCCTGGTAATAAATACTAAACTGTTTGGTTCTTTCTTGAAAATATATGAGCAATTTATAGCTAACTTCCAGAAAATGAGGAATATTTCCAGAAAATTCACTGAAAATTATGGGACCCATTTTTTTGTAACACCCAGCTTTTACTGGTTGTACAAAATCAAAGGGAAATCTTTCTGTTATACTCACCCAGTGAAATACTAGTACTATAGGAATTAGTGAATAAACCAAGTTTCCCTCAAATATTTCCCATTTCATCTTCTTCTGTGTTTGCACAGAAGACAGTGGTGTGTGCTGTACCTGATGACCAGGTCATGATCTTTGACCAGAGAGTCGAGGTGTGCTTCCTGGTTGCTGACGTCCAGCCTGATGGCGATGGTGTTGCGATATCTGGCTGCCAGCTCCTCCGCCTGCTTCAGCAGCTGCGATGCTGAACACAGACACAGAAGAAACCATGGAAAGCACTGGAAGGTCAGCTCTGTATGGGTACTGTGTTGGATTTAATGGTTTTATTACACTATTCTACTCTATCTACTCTAAAAGCTAATCAGCATTGTACTATGAGCAATGGAGATCTACATATAAACACAAAAACACAGTTCAAACCTGGGACCTGTGGAGTAAAATTATTAACAAAGTTATGCTCTAGGATTAGTTCTAACATTTTATTGAATTAAGTTCTTATTTAGTAGAAGACTGACACCATGATTGTTGCTTATTTAACCTGTGTGTTCACTTTGTATGTGTATGACTAGTCTATCATATTAGAAAGAGTTAAAATTT